CTCCCACATATCGTCGGCATGTACACGAAACTACACCCGCTGCCGCCGCCGACGACGACGACGATGACGACGACTTCCTCTCACGATCCCGCGGATCCATGAATGGTCCGTGGGCTATCAATGGGCCGCACGCTACCCACACGCACTCGGTGCCCTCCTCCCCTCTCCTTTCCTCTCTTCCCTGCATGCTCGCGCTCTCACGCGATCGCTCGACTACGACGACGGCGAGAACCGCAGCGATGACGGATACGAAATTATGGCAGCACCGCACGCGTTATTTTGCCCTAGCTTCCTTTTTTACTTTCTCTCTCTCTCTCTCTCTCTCTCTCTTTCCCTTTCGTTTTTTTTCTCTCTTCTTCCCCCCTCTTTCTTTCTCATGCGAACGATTTGCACGCAAAGAGAGGAGATTGCACGGCAGGTTACGACCTCGACTGCCGCGTCGTCCGTGCGCGCTCTCTTACGCGGCGGGAGAACCGTCTCTCCTGGGAAAGACTTTCACGGGGACGTGCGAAAATCGCCTGGATCGCGCTCCCGAATGTGAAATCAAGCTCGCCCCCGGCCTGTGTTTCTCGTATCACTCCATCGTCGGTTTCACGTTCGCGTTAATATGCATTATTGTTCCGGCGTCCGACTCTTTTCCATCCTGCTCGCGCCTCTTCGCGCTTCGCTCATCGCGTTTTCCTCCCCGGAGATAATCGCGTGCGATATCTGTCCCTACCTCCTCTTGCTTTTCATCGCGTCGGTGCGTTGGATTCACGCGCATTAATTGCACCGTATGTTTCCATCACGCTAGTCGTCACGATCGACAGACGCGACTTGGAGCGCGAGCAAACGACGACGACTCCTCGACATTTTTCCGCGCGCGTATTTTTCGAAGCGCGCTATTCGCGATAAATGCGCGAGACAGGGATACGCGTGCCGTTCCCGACTTGCCTCGCGAATCCGATGCGTCATAATCGCACGGTGCATTTCCACGTAAGTCGCTCGTAAGAGGCAATTTTTACCGGCGCGGAACGGTATATATCACGGCGCACATTCGTCTCGCATTAATCGGTGTGTATCTCGCAATTCAAATAAGATTTCCCGCAGCCAGCCAGCTCCTCATGCGGAACGGTCGTAAGAGCATCCCACGGTGGGTAAGGCACCGCGCCTCTCCAAATTTCATTCTCGCGAGATACTTTCGAGCGTTTCGCGCGGGACGCTGAGCGGCGAGGAGAGGATTAAAGCGACGTGCAGTTTATGCCACGGCGAATATAAGCGCGTGTACCGCATATTCGAGAGAGAAAGAGAGGGAGAGGGAGGAGAGGAGAAGTGGTGGCTGCTCCTGAGGGAATTTATGGTTTCGACGTTTCTCACAGCGGCCACCGCGAACCCGGCTCTAACTCACACCTGCACGTTCTCGCCTTCTTCTCCCTCTTCCCGTCTATCCTTCACTCTCTCTTTCTTTTCGCCGATATTATTGTATACCATGCGCGGGTGGCGGCGGTAAAGCTGGTCAAATCGCACGAAAGGAGTAAACGAGAGCTATAAATAAAGCCGACGGTATTGTCCGCGCCCGATACGATTTTCGGGGCGAAACAATCGCGCCTCCCGGCCATTGACGTCGACGTATCGATGGAAATTCACTCCGCGTATCTACGAGCTCCTTAAATATTGATGCCGACTCGGCGGCCTCGATTACCGGTGGGGCCCGGTGTCTCGCACGTCGTCGACAAAAGCGCGGCGCCGTGAACGAGCGTTCAACGACCGAGCGAGCAGCCGCGGCCACGTTTCGTCTGTGTATTTTGTCTGAGCGGCGAAAATCGCGCGTCCGTGCTAAACGCGCATCCGCCGTGGAATGGCAAAGCGATCGGAGGAGGAGGGGAAGATGAATTAGGCTCGCTCACATGTAATAACAAACATAGGAGAGACTGTCGGTTTAACGAACGTTCCTAAATATGGAAATCAAAAATAATGTCCCTAAATATTTAGAAAATATGAAATATAATCAACGTCTTTAAAACAAAAATCACGAAACAATAAATGTCTCTAAATAAAAAAAAGTGAAATAATTAACACTTGAAGAGAAAAAAAGGAAAAGAGAAACGAAATAATCAACGCATCTAAATTAAAAGAAAAACATCACGAAATATAATCACAGAGTTTTTAAATAAAAAATAAATAAATAAAAAGAGAAGCGAAGTGGCCAACGTCTTTAAATATAGAAATACAAAGCAATGAACGTCTCTGAACATTGAAGATCTTGTGGACAACGTACACAAAAGATGTCTGAGTTTCCACGACGTGATCCCTCGTTACGTCGACTCGAGCGTCGTTGGACTGGAATTTCTCGCGGGCTTTTTTCCCGAGGTCCGGTAGCGCGGCGTTTCATCGGAATAAAACTACGTATTCGCGTGAGTGCGAGCTGAACGCATTGTGCTCTCTAATGACACCGATAATTTCCTATGGACGCGCCGGTCGCTACGAGCGGTCCGCGCGAGCTATTAATAGCGCTTGATATATCCGCGCACGGTCATTCGGAGACACGCGGTGCCATTTGTTGCTACATTAGCTACTTTCTACCTGGCGAGCATACCGCGAGAGCACACCGTTTATTATAACGCCGGCTCGCGTATGCGCGCTTCGCCGGCTTCCACGGTGCAATGCGGCGGCGGCGGCGGCGGCGGCGGCGGCGGCGACGGCCGTCCGTGCTGCAATGCGGCTTTATGGGAACCCCTTGGCATGCACATCGCTTGTCATTCCATGGGAATGACGTGACATGATAAATGGCACCGTCGATGCCCGCGCGCAACGCGGGCACGCGTGTGCGCTGCGTCGTAACACGCATCGGTGAGAGACAGAGAGAGAGAGAGAGAGGGGGGGGGAGAGGGGAGAGAGAGGAGAGACCCCGGCCACGGCGCGGAGATCTCCTCAAGGCGGCATTATGGCACTCGCGCTAGGTAATCTTCGGCGAGAGACCCTACGTCTTTTTATAGCCTCCCGTGACACGGTATTCGTGAGGATCAAAGCCCCCCGCTACGTCACGAGGGCGCCTGGAAGTACTTTATATGGTCGGATGTGCCGCGGTAAGATAGCGCATCCAGTCACGGAGGTTCTCAATCGAGGTGGCGGCGCCTCTTCCTCCTCCTCCTTCTCCTCCTTCTTCTCCTCCTCATACCGTAAATGAATGCGACACGGTGTGTTACGACGGAAAACTGCCCTCCCGACGTAAATAACCGCTGTGCGATTAAGTAGTAGCGGGACGCGCCTCAGATTTGGGAAGCTGCGCGCGCTGTAAATTTCCCCGGGCATTTTTACTGCGACGCCGCTCATGAAATTGTTCCGGCGATTTATGCTCCTCGAGCTTTTACGAACTTCGCGCGGTGACACGAAGCACGCCACTTGATTTCTGCTAATAAAATTCAACGAGAATCGCCTTAATGGATCCCGAAGGAGACGCATCCGCGCACGACTACCCCGCGCGTCGAATCTCGACGCGCGGCTGACTACGAAAGATTTATCACCGGATAAGAAACGTCAAAAGCGCGGAAAGAAGAGTGGAAAGAGAGAAAGAATAAAAAGAATAAAGAAGGAAAAAAAAAGAAAACACAGTGATGCGCGGGGGCGAGGAGGAAGGGGGATGCGGACGCGACAGCTGCGCGTCGTCGAAGGCGCGCACAGTGCGGGCGGTGATCCTTAATCCGGGTTGAGTGTGTATTCGAAGATTTCGTCGCAGGATCCTACGCAAACACCGGGGCTCGCCCGGTGCGAGATCCTCGCGGGGAAAGGTGGGCCCAGCAGTGCCGGATGATAAACTGTCGCGTTGAGTCGCCGAGGGTGGATGGGGGTGCTGCGCGCCATTATTGTCGTGAATGCACGGCTGTGAACAGTCGGTGTGTTGCCGAGGCTGGTGAGCTTTTCTTTGGGGTGGGAGCAACGTTCTTGCAACTTTGTGCGGGCTTGAAGCACGAAACAGTCACGCGAGCACACGGATGAGACGTGAGAACGGGAGACGCGAGAACGAGATTCTCGACGGTTATTATTTTGTATATCGATTTGCCGAAAGAGTCGGAATTTTTAGTTCTACATTGATTCTGCGAATTTGGTTCAACGTGAAGGATTCAGAGAGAATCTCGAGATAGAACAGCTATTGTCCTACTTTGACGCGCTATAAATGGTTACACTTGCTGCGTCATTTTCTTCATGTCGAGACTTGGAGAAGCATGTTTATATATATTCGAAAATTATTTAATATTTTATCATCTTAATATCCTACATATATATCTACATTTGATCTTTATCATTGATTTTAATAAGTAAGCAATCTATTAATTATGTAACTTGCTCAACCGGCAGACAGAGTATGTGCGACAGACAAATATTAAATAATTAGGTATCAATTTCCCGGGAACCCGAGTCGAAATTATTGGTCCTACGTAAATATTCAATTTTGATGGGTAAATAAAAGAATAAACTTTCTTTATTCACAATTCTTTCATTATTTCTTGACGTTGGAAATATCGATGAAAACTTTCAAGCTCTGAAAAGAGCAGGAAAAAGCTGCAAACAAAGATAACAATCATGTCTAAGAATGCTGTGCTTATTGATAGATATTTAAATTTGGATCTCGTATAATAACAAAGATAAACATAAGCAAAGAAAAAAGCATTGGTAGATGTCAACAAAATCGAACTTGCGATCCACAGAGCATTGTTAGATGTAAGAAAATTACATTAGACTCTAAAGCCGATATTCATAGTTAATAGATTATGCAGTGTATTATTTGGGATCTTTGGTTGATTAAGGATATAATTACAGACCCGTATTCATGGGCCGTTATTTAATTATTTAATATTTAGTTGACGAAAAATTAGAGATTCACGAAGAGATAATTACTTGTCAAATGACGAACTACGAATTTCGGCCTAAATTTCGACTCGGGTATTCTTTTATTCTTGACAAGTTCGTCAAATTCGTTTATTAAGACAGAAACTTTCTGCGTAATAAATAATTGGACGCACCTCGAGATATATGTGTTGTTGCTCGTCTTGAGATCCTGCATCCTTTGTCTTGGCTTTTTGACCCAACATCCTGACGCGTCCTGGCACCGACACTAACACTGACACTCGCGTAGACACGATTCGATCGTCGAAGATACAGGTATGAAATAACGCGATGCCGATGAGAACTCGATTAATCACCTCAGAAAAATGATAACGAATCGACACACATAGTCCGTGATATATGTGTCGGTGACTCGAAACACAATGAGGACTCGGGAAAGCGAGGACGACACGCGAAGATACGTTTGACCGCCTTGAAGGTCCGGAATGTTTTGATTGTTGTGATCACTCGACGTTTTCGATAACAAGCAGCTATCGTTGATAGTTGATGGGAGGAGGTAAATTTACACTTCTTGCCGATTGTTTTGGTACGTGTCGTGTACACTCTTTCGTGATCGAGTACATTTAATGTGAAATATTTCATCGGCTCTGGGAATGTTTTTAATTGAATTTTTGCTGCCACCGCGTTAATTAACATGCCTCTCCACGATCGAATCGTATTTATGCGAATATCAGTGACGTGAACTATGTCATGACGGAGCAGCTAGGACGAAAGATGCAAGATGCCAGGATGGAAGCAGCAATACATGATATATTTCTAGAGGCAACAAACGGCATAATAGTGTCCCAATATTTTATATCTCCAACGTCATCTCCAACATCAATGGTAAAAATAAATAATAGAAAGATTGTAAAGAAACAGAATTTATTCGTGTGTGTTTCTCTTATTCCTTGATTATATTTGCCCGTTAAACTATTTAATACTTAATATTTGCTTTATATTCTGTTCGCAGTTGATAAAGTTGCACAATTAATATTCTGCTTGTTGAAATTAAGGATAAAGATTGAATTTTAAATAAACTGGATGTAGTGATTTTTTAATCAAACATAATCATTTTAATCAACATAAGCATTGAATGCAACATGAAAATAGTGACTTTAGAGAGAGAGAGAGAGAGAGAGAGAGAGAACATTGATCATATAATAACAATTCATTTTAAAGTAAGAGATATACAGAATCTTCCATCACTATATTGCTTATTGAAATTAAGGATAAAGATTAAATTTTAAATAAGCTTTTATTGAGCTGAATGAGAGTATCAGACAACTCTAAAATAAATCTTTCCTTAAGGCCCTCATTTAAGATGACGACAAGTAACCATTTCCAGCATCAAAGAATCATAGCTCGAGATTCTCCATTAATACTTGAAGTTCAGAGAACCTACATGGTTAACGTAGAACGAAAATTTCAACTCAGTAGCTCTTCCCGTAACCGCTTTCGATTCTACGCGCGCACGCGAATGGTAGCTACGATGGAAGCCACACTCCGTCCGTTTCGGGACACCGTTTGCTTAGACGTAAAATACAGCGGTAGGTTGCGGTAAGTGTGCTACATCGCGGCATCGGCCTTTTTGTAGCCGCGTAGTGTAATCGTACGCGAAAACTAGAGCGCATTCGCGCGAGGGTGGAGGGCAAATTTATCTTCGCCCGCGCCGCTCACACGCCGCTGTTCCGTGCGATTGTTCAAATAACCGTGGGTAATCAGAAGCGCAGATTGCGATTGTCAGTGTCGGGGCGTCTACCCGGCGTAATGTACGCGCAGAATATCCAAAGCATCGCTTTGCGCGATGGCAGTCTGAGCAAACAAACAATGAAGAGCGCGCGGGGGCTGGCTACTTACTGTTTGTCTACTCGGCTTGCGCATATAAAGTGATGATTTAGATAGGCTACACGTAGACCACCGTCGTTGCTTTATACGTAGACGTCCAGTACCGGAGTGAAGTACGCGAAGTTACCGTAGCAATTTGTATTAATTCACCGAACAGACAGACGGACGGACACTGACCAACGGCTTCAACTGCGCCGTGGCTTTCGTGGACGACGACGACGACGACGACGTCGTCGATGGATGTCACGTTCATAACGACGACGATGACGACGACCGACGAGGACGAGAGGAGAGGAGAAGCATGTCCCGTCGATACGCAAATTGCAACGGAACGCGCAGCGCGGAACCGACGCATTAAAAACGTGGGAGTATCCGGGCCCCGGAATTTTCCATCGGTTTTTCTACAAAAAGTCACCGCCGCTCGCCACCATTACCACCGTCCCCGCCGCCTCCGAGGGGAGAGAGGGGGAGAAGAGGGGGAGCGGGCGAGAGCAGAAAGAGAGAAACAGATCGTCGCGACAATACCACCGGAAATTGACGTTTCCATTGCATAATGGCGGACTTCCGCTTCCCCGCTAGGAATGACTCCGTCCGGCTTGTCACTTTTGTAATGGCCTTTAAAAACCTGAATGGCGAGCTGTGGCGCGCTCATCGTGCGGGCACACGCGCATTAGGTGGACCCACACACGCGTACGCGCGCATACTCGTCGCGTCGCACCCAAGTGAGAAACAGATAGAAAGAGAGAGAGAAACGTCAAGAGAAGTGG